TGTCGAACCCTTCACCCTCTCCCCTGAACTCCTCTTCTCCTGTCTCTAGGCGTCGAACCCTTCACCCTCTGCCCTGAACTCTCCCCTGAACTGTGTTGAATCTTTCACTCTCTTCTCTACACTCACGTTCCCCAACCCTCCCTACCCCTCTATCTCTAATTAACAGGCAAGATAACCTGTAAATTAAAAACAAATTATTCACCTAAACTGACACTGTTGCTTTGCCATGAGGTGGCAATAAAGTCAAATAGTGTCATATGTGAATGAAAACAAAAATTAATTTAGTATCTTTGGCACGTCCATTAATTCATTTTTTAAATAATTTATTCTCGCCTAAATTATGAATCTCCTGTCAGCTTTTGCGAATTAATATACCACCCTAATTTTCCCAGAAGGAATTAAACAATGATCTGCAGTTTGCACAACTCTGGTAAGTGGAAGCTTTGTTTGGCTAATAATGAGAGAAACAGATTGCTTAATCATGCTGGGTATACATGTTAATCTGTCTCAGGGTAATGATGTCACAGTTTCTCACGACCCTGCTACAGTGCAGCCCCTCCCGCTGGCTGAGGCTCCTGGGAGAGAGTGCGGAAGCTTTCTGGGCTCTGTGGCAACATGCCGTCTCTGACCGCGCACATTTCAAAAGCAGCTTCCCAACCCAACACCTTAAGGACGTGTTTTTGGAGCCTGAGTTATCATCAGCTCAGTGTATATACTTTATACACAACTTGTTCATTTATTAACACTTTGTGAAAGGGTGCAGTAGTAGTTTCCCACTTGGGATTTGAACCTGCAGCCCCTTCCCTTTGAACCTTCCCATTGGGATCTTGAGCTGCTCCACACTGCAGGTTGAGTGCAACAAGTCAAAGAGCAGTCCGACTTTGAACTTGCGATAAACGGTTCAGATTCAGGAGCTGAGAGCTCATCTAGGACAAAATCCAGCACCAACTGGAGGTCCGGAGGCCCAGAATTGAGCAGCCCTGCTTTGGGGGGCAACAGTCCTATTTATAGGTTTCCCTAAATCAGGAGGGAAAATCATTAAATCGCTTGCTCCCTTAAATCAACAACTCAGTGCCTCAGCCAGCAGGAACAGGTAAATGAGCTGTGCCTTAATTGGACTAAATCAGCTCCCTCCACACTAACAGGCTGAAGGAACTGAGTGCATTTAGTCTTTAACAGAGAAGAGTACAGGGAGGCCTGCCACTAGTACTCAAAGGTTAGCACAGCAGACATCTTCCGAATCAGACATGAAACAGAGGGGGATCCTTTGCGGTCGAAGACGGGACAACAGAATGCGCACCCACAGTTCCAAAGAGCCCCCCTTTTTTCCTGGGCGTTGGGGGCGGACCGATCTCAAACCCGTGCTGGTGGGAGTGGGAGCAGGAGTAGAGCTGCTGGGCAGCACAGTATTGATTCTGTGTATCTGGGGCCCATTGCTTCACGCTGTCGTTAGCACCACGAGAGCAGTCATCAAGCAAACCGCTCATACACCAGCTGATCGTGGACTCCACGGGCTCTGAAGACTGCAAAAGTAGTGTAGTTTCTGCACTTTTTTTGTCCCTTGAAGTGTGTGCTCCCCTGCTTATATTTTTGCTTTTAGATGTATCTGTTTTCATGATTATATATTTCTATGCGTGTGGGAGAAGAGCCAGGCACAGTCATTTGTCTTCATGTGGTACAGCCAAGTGAGATGTATTATATTAGGGAAATGATTGCGAGCTCAGAAAGGCTCTCCTTCAATTTATTTATCCATTTTTTTCTGTGGAATTAAAAAAACAGAACACAACAACGCCAAAAACGCCTTCCAGTGTTTAGAGACTGAACGATTTCTTTTTATATGGGACTAACCATTTTCATAATGCAGCGCTGATGTGTTCGTTTTCTATAGCCAGGCTGATGAAGGCTTTTCTTCTCCTTGCAGTAAATGGGGGCGGGTTAAGAGCTTTTTGTCACGGAGATATATGTGCCCTCCCCCCAACCCAATTTCCTGAAACTGTGCAAATCTAGCACAGTCTGTGTGTGGGCGAACCGGGGCTTGAGCCACTGTCCCAAGGGACACCTGAGAGCACCTGAGCAGCAATCCCAGACAGTTATTAATAATAATAATATTAGCAGCAATACATTAATGCCTTGAATTTTTTGTTTTGCTTGGTGAAGACCGTTGGCTTGCCATTCAACAGCTCCCCCTGCCTGGGCAGCCTGGGAGCTGCAGGGTTAGGAGGGGGTTGTGGGAATGAAAGACGAGCAACAGGACCTTGGTCTACCCTAAATGATGAGGCAGGCATTCCATTAACCTCTTTATCCCTAGTGACTGTCATTTTTGCAAACTATTTCACCTTTATGCAGTCTAGAACCCCTAGTAATAAATGAATCAATTGCTGATTCTTAATTTCTCAAATAAATTATTAGGTCAGGAGAACAGAGCGTTTAATTGGTGTGCCCAGAGCTTTTATTTTAAAGTGGAGTAATCTGTGGTATAATCAAAGTCTGTCATTTATTAATTTTTAGCTTAAAAAAGCCCTCGTCAAAACAGGGATTCTTAATCACCTTTGAGTGTTAGAAATCCACAGTTTTCAGGGGAGAGATGAAGACTTTGCAATGTCAAGCCGTCCCCTTGTTTTTTACACTCTAAGCTACCAGTTGGAGGACTGCTGCAGTTCTTTCTGAAACCCGTCAGTGCCTTGCTAACCACAAGATAGCACCGCTGTGCAGCAAGCAGAGCAAACCATGGGCTACCTCTATGGTGTGAGCTCTAGCCCCAAGTACGTAAGAGGCCTGCCCCATTGGAGCCCCTTAAAAGATCAGGATTAAGATTTAAGATGCAAATGGTGAGCTTCAGGTATAACATTGGGAAATGTTTTTGGGGCGCTGTGTTTCTTTTTGGTTTACACTTTAGTCATTTTGTTCATTTCTGTACAAACCCGTCCTGACATCACTGACAAGCACACATATATAGCAGTAGGCTGACCTACAGAGTATTTGTGTTTTGTAATAAACAGCCTGTCGATAGAGGTGCAGTAGACACTAATTTAACAAAATGCAATTACCCTCTCCCTCTTAACCCACCCAATCTCACCTCTGTAATGGGCTCAGCCTCTCGGCTCTCATCGAAACTTCCACACACAATGCGTAAAGACACAATGCCAGCTCAATCTACATTTTGTGTTGAAAAAAGCCTGTGGTTGTTCTTTGAATTGCCTAATTCGTCTGCAGAATGAGTTTGCTTGGCGCTGACGGATCCCTTATTTCATTCGGAAAAGGTTGATTCCATTATTTCTTTTATTCCATGCAGAAAACAGCCAAGACAGGATAGAAGTCCAGGAAGTGGCTCGCCCAGGAAGATCTGGCCTTGTGCAAGTGTGAGAGGTTTGTGCACGAGGCTGTGTAAAAGGAGGGGGAGGGGTGGTGTGTTAGAAGAGAAGAGTTCTATTGGGGTAGTTACAGATCAATTAGTGCCATTAGCTGGGAGGGAGCAGACATGATTGCTCACCAAGTACACAGTGTACTAAAACAGCTCTCTTTAATGAGTTTAACTGCACAGCTCCCTGCTTTGCTGAAGCACGGAACACTGGTTTAAAAAAACAACAGATGAAGCAGTAAAAAACAACAGAAGTTGGTAATGGTAAAGTGACAGGGTGGCAATAAACAGACTATTGTAATGGCATAGCACAGTGCCAGTATGGTCTATTCCAGTGACCATATGGTTCATCTCAGTGAAAGCAACAAGGCAGAAGAAGTGTAGGTTAGAACACAGTGAAGTTCAACACAGGAACAGTGTGGTTCAACTCACTGACTGTGAGGTTCAATTAACAGGAAAAGTTTGGTACAGGTCAGTTACAGTGTAGTTCAACTCACTTATAGTGACGTTCCATAACAGGAACAGTATGGTTCAACACAGAAACAGTGTGTTCAACATAGGAACAGTGTGGTTCAGCTCACTGATAGTGAGGTTCAACACAGGAACAGTGTGGTTCAGCTCAGTGATAGTGTGGTTCAGCTCACTTATAATGAGGTTCAACACAGAAACAGTGAGGTTCAGCTCAGTGACAGTGAAATTCAACACAGGAACAGTGTGGTTCAGCTCACAGGCACAGATCCTTAGCCACAGAGCCACCGCTTTGCCCTCAGTGAGGTTCAACACAGGAACAGTGTGGTTCAGCTCAGTGATAGTGTGGTTCAGCTCACTTATAATGAGGTTCAACACAGAAACAGTGTAGTTCAGCTCAGTAACGGTAACATTTCAACACAGGAACAGTGTGGTTCAGCTCAGTAACAGTGAGATTCAACACAGGAACAGTGTGGTTCAGCTCAGTAAC